CGCGCGCGCGCCGCGCGCGCGCGCCCCCGCGCCCGCCCCCCCCGCGGCCATCGCCCACCCGCCCGCGCCCTCGTCCCCCTCTCCCTCCCCCTCCTCATCATCATCTTCCTTCTAATAATAATAATAAACCCCCCCCCCCCAATAATAATAATAATAATAATTAATATTTCCAAATCAAAAAAAGGTATCCTAAAATAATTAGTTTAATACTAAAGTAGGATATAATCAAGGATTCAATAATCATATCTTAAATAATCTATAAAATGAGTCAAGCCCTCATTAAGGGTATACTTAAATTCATTCAAATAAAAAGAAAAATTAATATTCTAATTAACTTGGAAGTTCTCCTTTAAACAATTTCTCTTAGTAGCAATAATAGAAAAATCATAAATTATAAAGCCAATAATACTAATAGTCACCAAAATAATAAATATAGTAATAACGAGGATCTCCTTAAGCTTCAATTTAGCAATCTTTATAATCTAGTTCAGGATAATAAAAAGAGTCCATGCGCTAATAATTTGATAGATTACTTAGGGAGAGTCAAAGCTAAAAAGATTATTGGAAATTAATAAAACTAAAAGGCACTAAAGCTCCTGGCGAGTCGGAAGTTTATTAAAATATAGAATAACAAAAGAAAAAATAAAAAAGCCCTGACTATTATAATAAACTTAAACAAAACCATTTAAAAAAGAGTTAATCTCCCGTATCTCTTAAAATGTAACAAAAAAATCTATACATAAACAATAATAAATAAAATTAGGATAATAATCAACATGAAGTGGTAAATGCTATTAATACTTCTCCAGAAAAATAGATTTAAACCCTTTAGGATGCTCGATAAAACCAATAATAACTTAGAATGTAGAATAAACAGTAAAATAATTTAAATTTGGAAGAACTTAATTATAAAATTCAGGATATTCAAAAACTTAATTTATAATTGGATGAAAAAAGTAATAAATTGTTTGGGTAAATAAAGTAAGATGTTTCAAATTTGCAGACTGCTATAACTTAGAATATCTCTCCATCAGAAAGAGGATTAAGAAAAAAAGAAACTATAAAAAATGGAATAAATTTAGATGATTTATTAGACTATGAATAAGGCTCGATCAACTTAGATGAATTAGCTAGTTACAGAGGTAGTTAAGAGTACAAAGTATTGGATAATTACCAAAATTTTTGAATATTTAATTTTAATCTTAAATTATAATAGTGAATTAAACTAACTCTCATTAATCCATACTATAATCAACAAATTATTTTGTCGGTTGTCTTAAAATGGTTTATCTTTAGATGATTGACCTTTTATATAGTGATATCTTCATTTAATCTTCTCTATCCCTATGAGTAGATTAAAATAATGAAAGTAAAGGGTTATTTTCAAAATAAACAGTGTCTAGTTATCTTAGTTCAATATCCAGGTTTAGATCTTCAGTTTCAGACTTTGATCGTCCAATTTATATAAACAATAGACCAATACTGTAAAGAATCATGCAAGCAATGGATAATGAGCCTGGCAAAGATTCCTAATGAAATTTATTATATCAATACTTGGCCTAATAAATAAGAAAAGATGCTTCCAAAAAGTGGTTAAAAAAAGTTTGCTGAATTATATGTTAGTGGATCAACAAATAATTGTACATAGGATTATAATTAATTCATCATAACACCAGTGAATAAGGCATTCAAAAATATTTGTATAAAGAGAACTGGTTCTAAGAAGTCAAAGAAATTGTGCTAATTATCAAATGTAAGTGTCATAATTATCAATACAACAGTACTAAGTGCTCTAATTATTGAAAATAATGTAAAAGTTGGGCAACATTAAGCAATTTTTGAGTAATATTTGGCACTAACTCTATTATTAAAAATTACTAATATAATGTAGAAACACCTCCTCCAAAAAGTGCTGTTAAATCTCCAAATATAATTTTATCCCATATTGAAACATCTTGTTTTGAATAAAATGTGAAGCCCATGTTAGTAAAGATGACCATTAATAAGATCAATGCAACTCCAAATCCAAAATATTCCAGAATATGGCAATATTACTTTAGTATGATTTTAGTTCCGCAATAAATTAACAATGAACTATTATAAAACATAAGGGCATGTGAGACATGAGTGTGAGTAACAGAAATTGACAAAGATACAGCAAAAATCTAATGATAACTGATTAAATCATACTGCTTATGTTACTGACGCCATTAATAAATTAAATTCTTAACCTTTGAAGGAAATGATGCAATTTTTGTTGTTTTTCAACTCATAAATACTAATAGGAATATAGATTAAAGCAGTAAATCCTTATCTCCAAGCTGTTCTTATGATTGGGCTTTTATGTATTGTCAAGTATAGTGGACCTCTCAAAGATGATAAGATTAACTCCAATAATAAAATGCCATATATTTCGTATAAGAATTTTTTGTCCCTATATGTTAAATGCCTTTAAATTACTAACGTTTATATGTCTATTCCAATTCTTCCACTTCTCTAGCAATTTAAGAAGATATTATAGGTTGAGGTTCAATTGCTTTTTTAATTTTTGGTTCAGTTGTTTATTTATTTTGAGTTTGTTGATTATTGAGATCTTCAATCATATTTAACATAGAAGATGCTTTTTGAATTGAAGCCGAATGAAATGACTTGTCATTATTTTCATTAATTTTCATTAATTTTATAATAATTATAAATGATATGATTATATATAAAATAAAATAAATTTGAAATGTTCAATCCATGTGATCTTCACACTTTTGTATTGTGTAATTGCTACTATTACACATTCACTGTTGTTGTTTAGAAAATAATAAATTTAAGATATAGATTTTAATAATTAATTATAGAAAATAGTTAAGAAAATGCAATAATAGTAAAATTAAAGCTAGTAGGCTTCTAAAATATATAAAAAAGCTTGTCCTAATAATAATAGTTAAACAGAGCAAAAGTAATTCTCTCCTCGAACAACTGAGTCGACAAATAGAAAAATCAATCACATTTATGAAGATGAATTCCGTTAAAGGGTTGATAACATATTGCATGAGAATCATTAATAATTAAACTTAGGGAATTAGCTATTAAAATAATTAGAAGATATAAAATAATAGCAAGTTGATAAAAATGAAGAAATCTTAAGAGCAATAAAGTTTTATAAGAATTTTCACACTCATTCTCCTCAAAGACATTCATCTACAGAATAGAGAAGTATCTCTCCAAAGTCAAAAAATCCAAATGTTCAATAGTGGTAAAAAGGATTTTAGAATCCAGATGTTAAGGATGTTTTTGATAAATTGAGTCAATATAAGTTTGTTGAATTAAACTATTTTCTAGAAGAATTACATGAGTCTGATAAATAAGCACCTTCACTTGCTTACAAAAAAATACATAATAAAGATTTGAGTTCACTTCCAGAATAGATTAAATATTTCAGTCCTAGTTATTTAAAGTCAATTTTGGATTATTCTAAATCATAAGCCAATTCTATAAAATAACATATATAACAAGTAATTGATAGCAGTATTGATAAAATTCATATTAAAAAACCATCTTTAAAATAATCAAGTAAATATGCTGATATAAATTGGCAACAAATAGAATAGAATTTTAAGGATTAGACTTCATTGATCAACGAATTATAGCATGAAGTATCTCTCCTGTAAAATTAAATAACAACTTTATAACAGGATTTTGGATAAATCTAATCATAGCAATAAACAAATATTGAATAGACTGAAGAAAAAATTAGTAAATTATCCAATGAAATTTTTTAATTATCAGAAAATACAAATAGTATCACTTATTAAAGAGAATTCACTAAGAAATCATCCACAATTTCTAGATAATCCATTAGTAACTTATCAGAAACATAAATAAAAAGAACAAAAAAATAAAAATAGACAGATTTAGTTGAAAAACATGCAATGCTTAGTTATTTTAGAGCTGAATTTGTAACTAATTTTGATGAAATTAATCAAAAGTTTCAATAAATGTTAGATGAAAATAAAAAAGCATTTGAAGACAGAATTAATAGTTTAAGTCAAGAATTCAAAAATTTAACTGAAGCTATTAATTACACATAAATTTTATAAAACATTTCTAGCTCAGTTGAACCAAGTAATAATTAAGAGATTATCTAAAAGAGTTGTACAGAAAGAGCTTAAGAAATTATAGATAATGACAGCCTTACTAATGTCAAGTCTTAACAAGAATCACAAAATTAAAATCAGGAAAAAGTGTAAATATAAGACTAATCAATAACATAAGAAATTGATACACTAAAGATCCAAAATGATGTTTTAATTAAATAATCTAATTCAATGTAAGAAGATATACAAAGATTAAATAGATGGATTAAAGAGTTATAAAATTTTAATTCACTATATCAAACTAAATTTGAATAAAGACTCTCTTAAGTACAAAGCGATCATGAGCTTATCTAATAAGAGTAAGAGTCAATGTAAAATCATCATGACAACGTATAAAAATTCAATGAGAATAGATGCAATTCAGAATTCTGATAATAGTTTTAGATCTGATTAAGAGTAAGTTTTATAAAAATAGTACTCTGAAAAAAATATTCATTTTTATGTTTAATAATTAGATGTGAAGGTTCAAGAATTAACAATGGAAGTTGAGAAAATGGACAAAAAACTTTAAAAAATTATGGAAAATAGGACCACCAAAAATATTAGCATTAACGACATACTAATATAACTTCATTAATAGTAAAATGTAGCTAACATCTGTATAATATCAGAGAAAAAAGATTTCTTAACATTGGGTATTAATTCAAATGAAATTAAAATCTCTACTTATATCAGTGTATATGATAACTCCTTTTATACTGCATTTGCATACTAATTTTTAAGAAATAAAATAATGTATGAATAAGACGATTTCTATTCTTTTATTGAAGATATTAAACTACTTAACTTTATTATTTATTGTGATTACATATAAATTTCACAATCTTTATTTGGTTAGATCAAACAATTGTTAATTCTCTATCTAATACAAATTTATAACGAAGATTAAGACCAAAGAATATAAGCATTCAATTAATTATATAAAAATTAGAATAATCTAAATTTCCACATTTTAGCCAATATATTAATTAGAAATATTCTCCATTCAAAAGTGTAATCAACTCTGAATATCTTATATTGGAACACACAATTAGATGATGCTTTAAATCTTCAGGCATTATCACAACAATTAAATATGTAAATATTTTTATTTATTTTTAAGAACTCTTCATTTCATCCAAGTTTGCAATAATGAAATTAGGGAAAATATCTTTGAATAAGGAAAGGATAAAATAGAAATTTTAGACCACAATAAATCATATTATATTATAAATTTGGAATGAATTTAATTTGTTAAACATTATAAAGTTCACTATCAATAAAAATTTTTGATCTATAATTTAATGGTTGCTCTATTCTTGGTTGAATTGGAATTTGATTAAATAAAATCATAGAAGATTGCATTTCAATAAATATTTTTAGCACTCTTCTAATTACATAAAAAAAAATTATTTATATCAATCACTAGGAAGAAAGTAAACACTAAATAATCCCATTATATATAAATAATTGAGATATTAATGTATTTTTGTAGATGATTTACAATATTTCCAAATATTATATATTGATTAATTATTTATTGATAAATCATTTAAATTCTATGTTCAAAATATAATAATTGTTTGAGGAGAATGGG